AAAGTGAATAACTTTTAGAAACAGATAATCCGTTTCTAATTACCAACGGATACAATCTGTTGGTAATTTTCCATAGGTAAAAAGCTATTTTTTATTAGTGACTATGAACACCTTTTCTTACATGCGAGGCTGCCTACCACTGTGAGGTCCTTTACATCCATACTCGACTGTCAACCACTATGAAGCCCTTTACATTCTTTCAAGGTCGTCTGCCATTGCTAGGTCAACGCAACACTTAACCATAAGAAACATCCGTGAGTTGGATGGGAACTATTCAACAGCTATCATGGACACAACTAACTAATATATAGGTGGAAAGCCCCCACCTAAAACATGGAGATGGTAGGAGGTACTATGTGGGACACGTGGCATGATAAGCTCCCAGCAGACGCCTGTAAATCCCCCAAAGGTGAGACATGTATGGAGGACTGAATTTTGCCTATTTGAAAACGTATTCTATAATTTCTAAATCCCATGCTAATTCTCACGTCGGAGGTACAATGGGGGAGAAAGCTCCGACCTCATTTTTTAGGTAACATATGTTTATTGGAGTAATAGAAACACCTTGCTCCATCAGGACGGCATGAAGGTTTATCTATAAAATTTATGGTTGAAAATGAGTTTTGAGAAAAATGGAGCTCAAAAAGGGGTTTAAATGGATTCATCGTCATAATAATAATAATAATAATAATAATAATAATAATAATAATAGCAGCAGCAGCAGCAACAGCAACAACAATAACAACAGCAGCAAAAACAACATGAATGATATATATTTAAGAAAATTAGGAAAAATGCATAATATAGGGACCCAATCCATCACTAAACATAACCATCATCTGCAAAGAGCTACTAAGATTAATGAAACTAAACAATTTAGTACAATGATGTAAAAGAACGCTGCCCTATTAGAGATTACAAAGTGATTCGTTCTTTTTGATATTCATGTATCATTGAATTATGAGGGGAATATGATCTTCGTCCTTGCGTACAATCCTCAGCCGCTTTACGCTATCTACGAAATCTCTGTTCATAATCGTTATAAGATAAATCAAATAACTAGATTCAATCTTCGAACTGATGTGCTTTAGAATGCAAATAAATAAATAAAACTGTGCATCAATTTTAAGATGCAATAGACCATCAACCATAACTAAACATGGCATAATCGTTATAAGATAAATCAAATAACTAGATTCAATCTTCGAACTGATGTGCTTTAGAATGCAAATAAATAAATAAAACTGTGCATCAATTTTAAGATGCAATAGACCATCAACCATAACTAAACATGGCAAGGTCAACATTTTTGCCATTCCCGTTCTAACACGACCATGCGCTTGTTTGAGACCCATTAAAATGTAAAAACTCATTTCTGTTTCAAATTTAGTGGGACTGTATTCTTTGTATCTGTTAGGAAAAGAGGAAATGAATTTCCCTTTAAAATGTGATTTTAATGAGCTTCAAATTACAAGCACCTAATTTTATTTTTATGTTTTTGCACTAAGACTAGCCATATAGGTAGATTTGTGTTGGCCACGGGTGTTGCGTTCTCGACTTGACACACGACGTATAATTTTTGGATCTGTCATCACGACTCGCTTTCTCATTCTTGATTGCAAATCTGTCTATACGATGATTTAGAATTTTTTTCCCTCAAGTTTCACTAGACGAGTCTTTGATCAATGGAGTGAAGAGAAAGAATTCATAACCTATGAATTAACAAAGAAACTTACTTCCATGGAGAATCCCCAACAGTCCTCCATTGCTCGTCTTTGTCCTTGTAAAACAAGGAGAATTCAGACTCAGCTTCGAACAGATGCAGACCGGCTATGGATTGATTCCCTAATCAACAATTCAAATCCATTATTCATTTTGAACAAATTAATCCCAAGTTTTTGGAACATACCAAACATGTCTTCAAGTTGAAGTGCAAGGCTTAAATAATCCATATGATCAAGGATACAAATCTTCCTGCCAACTACTACCCCATCCATATTAACTTTCACGTAAGCCCAACGCTCTCTGCTTTGAATCCCTTCTGCTTCATCGTCGCAATTTTCCTTTATTTTTTGTGGATATAAATCGATGCTGCTTTTCGACTGGGGATGTAGCTGCTGCCAATCTACCAAGACTTCGTAATTTTCTGCACTTAACAGCAACAGAAATGTGAATTGTAATTATCATATTGAAGCACTGGTTATCAAATTGCACAACCTTTAGTGTCGGATAACTTTCAATCAAACTATTAAGATCAAATTAATGAAATTCCATCTACTCGGTGTGGGGAAGGGATGAATACGGTTCTTTTTGGACGGTTTGTAAAAAAATTTCAAGCCAAACCACTTAAAGCGGTTTGAAATTTTTCCGAACCAAACCAAACCACTTTTCTCGATTTGATCCGGTTTAAATCTGCGGTTTAACTTAAATCTTAAATATTATTGGAAACGTAAAGAAAAGTTTTGAGTTTTTAGTAGGGAACATAATTATATATCTCAAGGCACATGAAAGAATACATTTAAAAGGAGTAACAGCATCTAAACCTACCCTAATTTCTAGTAACCATTATATGGTGAAGTCTCCATATCTTGTCCTATATAAAGAATTCTTAAATGACATTTTGTTTCCCTAAATATCAAATGCTGATATGCATATAGGAAAATTATTTCATCCGAAAACAAAGAAAAGAAAAACATAGTATATAATAAGTTCAAGATCCGATAGGGCCCGAAGTATTTTACTACAGAAAATTTTCAAATACCATACCGTGGCTCGATGGATAATATGCCTCCGGCTGCAAAGTTTTAAGACTTAGCCCGAGATCAATAATGTTGGCTTCTTCTTTGCTTTGATAATAGGAAAGAGCAGCATGGTTTAGAAGGTAGTCTGATGCATTTGAATCCATGGACACAGCAGAAAGAAATTTAGAAGGGGCAATTCAATGATGGACAAATCTACATCAAAGGCCATTTAAATCACTTTGTGACAAAGTATTGAACTTGGCAAAAAGGATGCAAATTGAAGTGGGACCTAGGGAAGACAAGAAACCCTTTATCCCATTATCAATCATTGAGTAGCAGTTATGAATTCTTGCATTATTTTACATGTAAATACTCGAAGAAGTACCAAAAGAACATGTAGACAATGGATGGGTTATAGAGATACTGTAAAAGTAGGCTTGGATTCTGCATCCCTGTATTGCTACAAAGATCCTTCTACTCAGGTGCAAATCTGACAGTGGTCAGATGCAGCAAAACATACCAGTTATAATGGGAGTTGAACTTCTTTCACTGGAATATTAGCAAAAAGGATCAGTAATTTCGGCAAAAAAATTTAAATTTCATGACTTGATCAGTCACTACAGCAAACTAGATCCTAGTAAT